CCCCCCCCCCCCCGCGAGATGACGGTCAGAGAACTATCAACTCGTAATTGTTCGCTCGTGAAACGAAGAAATGCGAAGGTTTCGTTCAAGCGGACACTTTCGGCGCGTCCTCGGAAATAATGGTCCCGCGACTCCTGCGGAGCGGACCATTTCAACGCCGGCAGTGCTCCGGCTCCATTTTTCAATTAATGCCCCGATGTACGCGATCGATGCTGCGGAATAACCCATCGAAAGACCCTTTGGCGAAAACTCGTGGGCGTGACGAGCGTCTCTCGTTGCCGGCCGTCGTTGCAGGATCTCGTCCTCCTACCTGGGGCGTTCCAGGGTGTACGTCCCTCCGGTGACGCGGGAAATTGGGTAGGATGATTCAATTAAGCAGAAGAGCCGCCTCCGTAGGTGAACGATCCGCTTCCGTCGGGCTGGCCGTGTAATTTCGCAGAAGGGAGGGGAAGAGAGAGAGAGAGGTCCCCGTCGATGCATTGGTAACGCGTCCACGTCCGCGAAGGATGTACGCCCGCCTCCATTTTCTGCCTTCCGCGCGATTAATCTTCCCCCGAAGCTTCTTTACAATATCGATCGCGCGACCGCCGTGAAAGCTTCGCGAAACGCAGCGGATGGTCCGTGATATTTGTTGAGGAAGTAACCGGTTAATATCCGCCTTTTGATGGACTCGGCCGGCACGAGCGGGGGTAATCAGCGCGAAGATCGATCGCGAAGACGCGTGCGTTGCTGCTGCGAGAGATGGAGCAAGGCCGTGCAAGGGGATGTTAATAATACGGTAACGCGGAGTAATGGAACATTAAGGCGACGACCGACGGCAGTCGAGCGGGGGACGCGAGGGGAATTTTCGCGAAAATTTCGCGGACAAGGCGAGACGAGGATAAATCAACATTAGCGGGTCAGAGAGAAAACTCGGGACTGTTGTTGCGCACACCTCGGAGGCCTCATGGAAATCGTGATCCGCACGATAAGACCGGGACACCTGCAGGCACTCCTTACGTGCTGCAGACACGAGGGTGAAGCGCAGAAGGAGGTGCCCGACCTCCAACCTCTGTCCCGATATCATCGTGCAACCCGGTCCACGCTAATAAATCAACCTGTCGCCGTGTTCGAGTCGCGCCCTCGACCCCCGACACGCTTCTCCGACACCTCCTCCTCCCCTCCCCCCCTGCGTCCACTCTCTCTCTCTCTCACCCCTTTAGCACCTGCGCTCGAGTCTTCTTCTTTTCTCGCTGCATCACGAGAGAATTGAGTAACTTTGCGTCACGCGTGCGTCGTAGAACGGACAAATATTTGTCCAA